CACACACATCGTGCCACGGTAAGTCAACGAAGCAAGGACAATCTTTTCAATAAATGGTGCTAGAATCACTAAGTAAGGTTGTGAAAAAAAATCAACCTTGACACAATTTATAAAAGTAACATGAAATGGGGCATAGGCCTAAAAATGAAAATATAAAACCTCCAGAAGAAATCATAGATGTTTGTGGCTTTGGGTTAGGCAGAGACTTCTATGTTACATACACACAGAACCACAACCCTTAAAAAGTGTGTAAGGTGAAGGTAATCAAAATTCAAAGCTTCCGTTCTTTAAAAAAACTACCATTAATAAAATAAGAAAAAAAAGCCACAGGGTGGGAGAAAGTATCTGCAAAATACATATGTGATAAAGGACTTATATTCAGATGGAATAAAGAACTCAAAACAGTAAGAAAACCACCAAATTTTTTTTAATGGGCAAAAGAATTTAATAGATGCTTCAAAGAAGAGAAGCAGACAGCAAGGAAGAACATGAAAAGATATGCAGAAATAACATTGTCAGTAATTAGAAAAATGCAAACTAAAACCAAAACGAGATACTTAACTATTAAAATGGCTGAAATTTAAATTAAAAGGAAAAAACAGCTGACAATGGCTGAGTGCCCGTGAGGACACAGCTAAAACTCTTACACACTGCTCACAGAGTTGTAAAATTGGACAGTTTGGCAGTTTCTTATGAGGTTAAACACAGACCTAAAATAGAACCCAACAATCCCATTCTTCTTTGCCCCAGGGGAAGGAAACTGCCCACACAAAGACCTTTCTGCCCCAACCTGGAAACAACCCAAATTTCCATCGGCTGCTGAATGAATAAATAAACTGGTGCTCATTGAATATTACTCTGCCATTAAAAGGACAGAATTATGATTCAACAGTGTGGATGATCTTCAAGAGTATGATGCTAAATGAAAGACGGTGAACACAAAAAAAAATTACATAGTTTGATTCCATTTATATAAAGCCTGGAACAGACAAAACTACAGGGACAGAGAAAAGATGAGTGACTGCCAGAGACTGGGTGTGTAGGTGGGAAGGCCTGACCACAGAGGAGTAGGAGGAAGCTTTTGGGGTGACAGAAATGTTCCACATCTGGATTGTGGTGTGGGATCCATGCAAAGCACTTCTGTAAAAACTCATCAGCCGGTATTCCTAAAAGAAGTAACTATAACTAGTAAATTATACTTTACCAAATTTGGGGGTTTTTTTTCTTAAAAAAAAAAAAAGCAAACAACCATGGTAGTTCATGGGTGTGTTCTCTTTGGACAGCATGACATTTCAAAACTTGGAATCAGTTGTGACCTTTGAAAACAAAGACCTCTAAACAGAGCAAGTTTTCTTGAGGAATCAGAACTATGGCCCTCTGGGCTCCAGATCCCTGTGGGCTGCACCAACTGGTGGCTGCTTCACCGCCCCTAAGAGACCTAATTCACAGAGGTCCAGTACTTTACTAACCTGCCCCGCCCCCCGCCCCTGCCTGCCTGTCCTGGGCCGGCTCACCACTAAGAGCCTGAACAATGACAGGTGCTTGATGAATCCTGGCAAAGCCATGTGACTTGCATGCCACCTTCCCCCCCACCACTGATACCTACAACACTCAAACTGCTGACTGACTGGCTGCTCCTTCAGTGCTGAAGTCCCCAAGAGAGCCACCACCCATGGCAGGCATCCCATCACCTAGAATAATGTGTCCCTCTGTGTGCTTAGAAATCCCCTCTTACATGTTGTCAAGCAACCAGAATGTTTCAGGGCCATTCCAGCTATTCATTTTTGTCTAGAGAAGAGCGGAGTTGTTGTTTGTTTTCAAAAAAAGAGAAAGAAAAAGAGAGAAAACCACAACGGGGCTTGAAAAGTGAATGAAATGAAAGAGAAGTGTGTACCTTCGCTTGGCACGTTCTCAGATCACCCAGTAATTTGAGACATACTAAGCTTGGGGGGACTCTCTGGTCATCATCAGGACGGCAGGATCTCAAAGTTACCACAGTGATGTTCACTTTGGGGAAAGGATGTGGGGCAGGGAAGGGATATCTGACTTCTGTTTTGTATCAATATTAAAAGTACAGTGCCACTGTTCCCGAGATGTTCTTTGCTTTGAGGGGAACAGGGAGGGAAGGGGAAGCAAGGTCTGGGACATCTTGGAAAGTATCTCTGAGGTGCTGTTGATTAATATAAATCCACATATATTTGCTTGGGCCATCTATATTAGGGGGGGGAAAGTACCAGATCAAACTTTCTTATTGTATATCTTTAACACTGCCATGAGAAAGCATGAACCCATGTTATCTTGCCCTCCCTTTGCCTCACCTGCCCTATTACTCTAATTATACAGTTTTCCCCTTTATTATCTCAATTTCTCTTTATCCTTCCTCTCTTGAACCCACCACTCTCAAGGCCACCAAACATCCCCATGTGCAAACCCAAGCTCCGCTGCTGCCAGTCCCACCTAATCCTGCCCTTGGTACCATTTGTGACGCTTATCACTCCTTCCCCCTTGAACACTTTCTTCCCTTAGATTCTGATTTTTTTTTTGAGAACAGATTTTTTTCTTTGTGGCTCAGGCTGGTCTTGAATTCACTATATCACCCAGGCTGGCTTCAAACTTACAGCAGTTCTCCTGTCTCAGCCTCCCGAGCACTGGGATTACAGATGTACCCCATCATGCCCAGTCAGGCTTCTGTGCCCCAGGATACAAAGATACTGAACACCTATGGCAGTACTTTCTAAAAACAAACCTATTTTTGCCCATTTTTTTTTAAACAAAGGCAAATGTCTTGGCTTAGCCTTCCTTAAAAAACAAGGAATACTAACAATGCCAACCACATGAGCATAGCAAACTAACACTTTAGGTAGGATCTTAATTGTCACGGGTTTGGCTTCTTGTACAGCTCAGCACACCACACCCTTTACAGTGAGAGACAGCACAAGACCACAGCTGACCGTCAGAAGAAGTTCCAAGAGAGGTCATTTGTTGAAAGTCAAAGGTCCCCAGCAAGTGTACACCTGATACCACTGCCTCCCTCAAACCTTTTGGGATGTTCAGGACTCTCCCACCCTGAGACGAAGCTGCCCCAAATGGGAAACAGAAAACAAATGACAGCAGGGAGGACACAGGACAGGAAGGCTAGGGTTTACCTCTGCCATCGAGGGAACCATCATAAAATAGACACAGCAGCAAATCCACAAAATTCCACAGACTTCAGAGGCAGATGGTGGATCCACAGGTGGACCGGACCACGGAAAACAGATCAGCGGCGACAGGGTTGGAAGTAGGAAGGGTACCCAACATTTAGCACAGAGAAAGCAACAAGTCTGTTCCACCCAGTGAGAAGGTAAAAGATAAAGGCCTTGAGGAAGCAACATCCACTTTTAGTGACTTTGATTTTAATCAAAGCAACTTTCCAAGCCCTGTGTTCCTGGGGACCCTAGACTACAACTAAACAGACAGCAGCGCCAAAACCAGAAGATGTAGATCTGAAGTCCCTGAGGTCAGGCCTAGGCTATCAGAAGGAGGAGCCCAGCAAAGCCACAGAGGTTCAGAAGGGTCTGTATAAAAACGTTGGGAAGGGAGATGAGAAATTCAAGACCCATCAGAGGAAATCATCTGACATCGGGCTGAACAGGAACAATACATGAAAGCCAGATTTCACATATGACGGATGGCAAGACAGTTTTCAAGACCTGCAGGCAAATGAACAACATCCAAAAGCTAGAATCTCGGATATCTCCTAAACAATCTACCACAGTCAAGGGTCTGAAAGAGTGTAGACAAAAACTCGGTGCATCTGAGCCAACAGATACTGAGGCATTGTACATGTGTCTTAGGAATGGTCTCTGAACCTTTGTGCCGAATTCACGTCATTGAAAACTGCTACAGGGACAAAAATTGGAGCTAAAATTCTTAGGTAGCTTGACTACTGAACTTAGTAACATCTATTATCGCAAGCGAGAATTCTTGAAGGCAGGCACCTCAGGTCTGTGACCCTTTAACCGAATCAAAGGAAAATGAGATTTGAATTAAACTGTTGAAGACAAGAGATATTTTTAACCTAAAATCCTCTTAACTAAAACAATATGTGAGTTCCTTCACAATTAAGAATTTTAATCTAATTTTGGGAAGAGTGTGCCTGGAAAGGGGTCCTTATTAATCCATGCTAAAATCCACAAAACTACAGAAACAAACTGAGGTGAGAGTTACATTTTTCATAAACTGATTATATCACAAGTCCAGAATTTCATCACAAACACAAAATCCAGCCCTTTCTAAGTCACAGTCATCAGTCTTATCTCAAAGACAACTGCTGACTACACAGTGTAAGTTTTGAAGCTCTTTAGCACCCAAATAATTACAATAGATTTTGTAAAACTGCCCAAAAAATTACAGAAATCTGTTTCTTTAGGATTAAGTCTAAGACCCAAGCATTTTTTTAAATCTGTAAACTAGCGTCCTGCAAACAGTGGATTATATACTCGTCCACTGCCTGAATACCTTTGCCAGATGAAATTGATTATTTTAGATACCTCCGTCCCAAAACAAAAAGGAAGCCCAGAGATGAGAATGCTGTTTGGGAAGTAGGCACAGAAACTGCTTAAAACTCACAGCCAGTCCATATAGTTAAGATAAAGTGGTCTCTCAACAAGGAGCCCAAAATTACAGTGGAGGTCAACACTTGAAACGTGTCCTACAAAAAACACATCCCTCTTCAGGTGTCCCGAACACAGTATGTCTTTAAATAAAGCGTGCCTGCGGGACCACTAAGAAGGCTCTGCAACTTGTTCAGACAGAAGACAGGAATGAGCCTCTCTTTTTCTTCCCCGCCCAGCGGAGCCTTCCCGGGAGACAGATTTCTGACAGTTTGCCTGCTGTTGCAGCAGCGAAGGGCGGAGAAAATCCCGGAGCCCGGGGCTGCCAGCACCTCTCCGTGCACCGCCACCCGGGCAGGCACTAACCCCGGCGGCAGCCCCGCTGGTCCAGACGCGAGTGCTTACCCGGGTCGGCCCTGCCGTGCTCGGGGAGGGCCGCCAGCAGCACGAGTCCCAGCAGCAGCGAGGGCAGCGGCGGCGGTGGCGGCGCCTCCTGGGGCGCGCGGGCCGCGGGGCTCCTCACGCCCGGGCAGCGCGCGGCTCCCTCGCCGGCCCGACCGAGCCCCCGCGCCGCCAGCCCAGCTTCCCTCGGGCGCTGGGGCTTCGCCTCCTGCAGAGCCATGAGGACCCTTCACACATCCAGGCCGCTGCTTCGCTCCGCTCCGCGCTGGGGAGTCCAGCCCTGGGCGCCCGGGTCCTCAGCGGGCATCTCCGGCCGTGGCCCGCGCGCTCGTCCCGCCTTGGCCGCGGCGGGCTCCGGGGAGCCGCGGCTTCAGCCGCGCAGGGGCCGGGGCCGCATGGAGCCGCGGGCCGGGCTTCCCACGGTGCCTGTCGCCGCGCGCCGGCGCGCCCCGGGCAGCGAAGTGGGACGGGCGCCGCCCGGGGCCCCCTCCCTGCGACGGAGCCGGGACCGGCGGCCGCAGGGCGCGCTCGGGTCCCTCGCTCGCTCCGCCGCCGCGCTGCCTCTCCGGCCCGCCCTGGCCCCTGCTGCTCGCCGCTCACGCGCGGGGGTCGGGCACTAGCTCCGGCTCGGGCTCGCTGGCCGCGAGGGCTACTGCAGCTCGGAGCGGCGCCTCATTGACAAAGGAAGCACGTAGCACCGGAGCGGGCGAGGGAGGCGAGGCCGGCGCGCGCGCGCATCCCCGCGCGGAGCCACCGCGCGCCCCCTGCTCCCGCGCACCCGCCGAGCCCCGCGTCCAGCAGGGACCCCGAGCGGGTGGCAGCTCCTGCACCGTGGAGGGCAGCCCTGGGGCCTCCCTCGCCTCGTTTCCCACTCAGGCTCTCCCCTAGAGGAGGCAAGGTCGGCGGGAGAGGTCGTCTGACCCGGGAAGCGGGGTGTGCATGGCCATGGTCAGCGTGCTGAAGCGGCCAGGGCCAGTGCTCTTCAGCCTGGCTTTGGGAGCCGCTCTTGGTGGGTGGGCAGGAGCGCTTTGTGCTCTTGGTGTCCTTGTCGGAGGGGCCGCGCACGCCTGCGTGCCCCTTTCATCCCTGAGGACCTGAGGCAGTAAAACACTAGATTCAAACACATTCTAAATATGTGTTAAATAAATGTGCCATAGCACCTGCAAAGCAATGTGCTGGGCACTGGGGAGACCAGGAGACGACTCTGCAAAAGAATTGCTCCCCCAAAAGAGGGGAGTTGGACAGCCACTACCCAAGGGGAAAAACGATCAGAGTTACCTGAACTACTGTCCTGCTCTTAACCTTGCCAGGTTAGATGGCCTTAGACAAGCTACCAAGCTCCGAGGTGCTTCAGATATGCTTCAGTCCATAAGCATTTCTTGAGCACCCACTGTTTGCCAGCTACCGTAAGAAGTAGGCACACAAGCCAAGAAAACCACCCCCGACCTGGTGAACCTCAAGCTCTGTCACTCAACAGTATTCATTATCCAACAATACTGCCTATTACAGTTGGCAAGCCCTATTTCCAATGTGGAAAGGAGTAACAACCATAACCTAAACCCCAGTAACAGAATATCAGCCAGTGATAAATGCCGCAAAGAAAAATCAGTGTAAAAGAATGGGGTGGGGTGGGGGGCCGCTGGCAATGCTCAATTGGATGAAGAGGAACGTAACTTTTTTTCTTTTTAAACTAAGGATTAAACCCAGGTTCTTGGCACTGAGCTACATCATCAGCTCTTTCCTTATTCTGTATTTTGAGACAAGGTCTCATTAAGCCTCTAAGTTGCCCCAACTGGGTTTGAACTTGTGATTCTCCTGCTTCAGCCTTCCAGAGTGCTGAGATGGCAGGCCCACAGACAGTAACAGTTGCGAAAGTGGAGATCACTGAAGGAAGTGAAAGACCAAAGCCATGGAACAGCATTTCAGAATAGGGGACACGAAAACCAAAAGAGGGAGACAGAGCCAGCCTGGGCACAGCATGACAGCCAGAGGGCTGAGAAAAGCATTTAAATTCATTTGTTGTACTCAGTAGGATAGAAACAGCACCATATTTTCATTGAAGATGTGCTTTTTCCCACATATTAACTCCTCAGGAGTCAGCTGTATCCTATAATGATCCTCAGACTTACTGAAATATGATAAAAACAAGCTCAGCAGCCTTCATTCAAAATCTGAACTGCTCCAAAATATGAAACGTCTTCGATGTCACATGTGTGCTCAATAAAGTTTGGATTTTGGAGCATTTCCGTTCTTAAATTTTCAAACTAGAGATGTTCAACCAGTAAATTTACACAAATTTTTTTAAAGGAAAAAGAAAAAACCCTCTAAAATTGCAACTCTTCAGTCCTAAGCATTTTGGAAAGGGACACTCTGCCTTACCTTACTGAGGTTGAGATTTACCATTGTTCTTCAGTCCAATTAGTTCTGTCGCTTGGATTTGTTTGTCGTTTTTGTTACCTGGGATCTTTTCGGTTGCCAGGCAGGCGCTTTTGGTGCTAAGCTAAATCCTCAGCTGAACCTGGATTTGTTTTAAGAAACTTGTAGTACAGTTGAGGCAATGAAGCAGAACTTGAGGTGAACTTGAGGACACTAAGGAAGAAGCCAGCCACTGGTGGTCAGTGTGGTGAGATGAGGGAGTGACAGTGATCCCAGAGACAAGGAGAGGGGCTGAGGAGTGCAAGCCGGCCAGGCAAAGCTGGGCTGACACAAGCGGGGGTGGAGAGGGCTGGAGGTGCTGGGGAGAGAGGAGCAGACTAAGCAGAGACGCGGAGGGAAGTAGGAAAATGCAGCCTAGAAGTCAAATTAAGGAGAAGTAGGAGCCAGAGGAGGCAGTGATGTTGAAGCCAGTTTGTGGAAGGCCTTGACACATTTGGGATTTCCCCAGAAGGAGAGGGAAGAAGAAAGGAAGGGAAATCACCTTCAGGAACACTAGTCCCATACAAGGCTTCACTGCTGAGGGCACAGAGGTATGTGGTGGGAAAAATGTGGACCCTGCAGGAGCCACATCTGTAAGCAACTGGCTGGGGTGGCACAGAAGGGACAGAGATGCTGGACTCAGAGGTAGAAAAGATCCCGGTGGGCAGAAGGCTGTGTGTGAAGCAAGACAGGAAAGACTCAACCATCACCAGGTTCTCCATGAGCAATCAGAGAAGGAGGAAAGAGGCAGACAGGAAACAGCCTTGGGGTTGACGGCCCGCAAGTGTGCATCTCAAAAAGGTTTCCTCCACATTGTCATTTTCTTGTCACCATCTTTTTGCCAGGTTTGGACAGATATTAGTTGCTTTTCAGTTTCTGATGACTCAGCTGCCCAGAGGTGGACTAGAGAAACTGGGTAAGTACGGAACAGAGCAGAAAGCAGGCCACCCAGCCTCCACCTCCCGTGCCTGAAGGAAATGCTTAAAGTTGAAGTTTGCCAGGCACAGCAAGTGGCCAGATGGGAGACACAGAAGTCTGCAGCCTTTCACAAGGGAAGGCAAAGTATTCAATGAGAAACACAGAGGGGCCCTTGGGGATACCCCACTTCTGGGCAAGGGAACCACATGGGAGGCAGGTACAGGAGCCTGCAGTGATGCCATCCAGTCTGTACTCTATCTTCATCCAGCAGCAGCAACTCTAGAAGGGCTTTCTGCCCCAGCAGGAAACTCTGTGAGATCCTCGATGGGTGAGTCCCTGATTGGTGAGTGCAAGTACAAACTAATGTTGATTTAAATTCAGAATGTACCGTCCGCTGGCTGTATACTTCCAGGCAAATCACCTAGTTGCTGTAAATGCTGTCTATAAAACTAGAATGATCAGAGTAACCCCATTGAGTTGTTTTAAGGACAGAGTTGATACACGTCAGTCAGAAGTACACTTGACCAAACCAAGCGTGCCATCAATCATGTTTGTATATTCTGTGCCAGTGCTTTTGTTTATTTTGGTCGACTTTCACCAGGGCTTTCGGGCTTTCCCTGTGTGTAAGTTTATTGTTCCACAGCTTTTAAAAAATCAGTAAGGGAGGAAAGGCGGAATATAGAGAATGCAGATGTGTCATGGACACGAACCAGGTCCCTCACAATGAGTCACGAAAAATTAAAAACGAATTTTAAAGATAAAAAGTCTTTTGTACAGTGTTTCATTAGGCAGAGAAGAAAGATCAATCTTGGGGCAGTGGTTTCAGACCCTGATGGCTTTAGAGTGGGTGCAGAAACAATCTGGGCATCTACTTTTTTTTTTCCTTGAGACAGGATCTTGCTATGTAGTTCAAGTTGGTCTTGGACTGACTGTGTATCCCAGGCTGGCCTCAAACTCGCAGCAACCCTACTGCCTCAGCCTCCAAAGTGCTGGGGATTACAAGTATGGGTCACCATAGCCAGCCTATTCTTCTTGCGATAAACTGATGTTTCTCCTCACTGGGGCACTGGAGAAACAGCTTGGGGCTGATACTCCTTGCAGATCTACATCAAAGCCTCCTGTCAAGTGGCTGGGTCTGTCCTGAGTTCTAGGATTTCTGCCATGGGCTAGGCTTTGCCTCACCCTCACTGAGCAACAGAACTCAGACTCAGGGGGGAGGATAAATAAACACACAATCTCCTTGCAGGGACATGGGCCAGCCATTGGCATGATGAGGCCAGCTCATTTTTACTGTGTCTCTTTACCCTTCAGTTCTTCACTATGTGAAGCATTGTTCTTAGGCACAGCAGGGCGGGAACTAGGACTGGCCCTTGAAAATCTCAGTGATTTCCAATCCGAGTTCAAACCCTAAATCCATGACCCAAGAACTGGTAACCTTGAAAACAATTTACCTCATAGCCCTTCTAGAAATCTGGAGATGTCTGCCCAAGATGTCAAGATATCTATCATGAGAAATAGGAACATATGTCCTCACAAACATATCTGTACCAATATTTGTGGTAGCATCATTCACAACCACCAAAAGGGGGAAAAAATAACTATCCATCAGCTGGTGAAAAAAACTAGCAAATTTGGTAAAACATCATACTGTTCCTCAGTATTTAAGAGACACAAAGTCCTGACATGGTATAACACTGATGAACCTTGAAAATTTATACCAAATTGAAAGAAGCCAATCATGACAAGTTATGTATTCTATGATTCCATTTATATAAAATATATGGAAAAAGGCAAACCCAGAGAAACAAAAAGTAGATCAGTGATTACTTGGGACCAGAGAAGTGACTAAATGGCACAAAGTTTCTAGAGTGATAAAAATGCTCTAAAATTAAATAGTGGTGTTAATTACACAACTCTGTAGATACTGAAGTTTATTGAATTGTGTGCTCAAAACTAGAGAGTTCCTTACATAAATCATTATCTCAGCAAAGCTGTTTTAAACACAAAAACTAAACCTGGAACAAAGTACTCAATAAAGCTTACATATTATTGTCATATTGTCTTTTTCAAGTACATAAAAATAATGGACTTTTATATTTAAGTTTTCATTTTAAAGGTTATCATTCTTGAAAGGTCCATATGAAGTATATTATAAAGAATGCATAAGGGTATTAGCATACTAGCAATAACTTTCATTCCCTTAAAGAATAAATAACACTTTTCATTTGCCAAAAACACTTCTATCTTGTTAGACAGCACAGTTGCTGTATCACAAGCTAGACAATTCCATCATCCTTTTAGAGGCGATATCCACAATGATAATCACATTTTCTCATTCTTGAGACCCTGATACTAAACCCTTTTTGTGTACTAGTCTGATCCCACCAATTTTTCTCAATGCCTGATTGAACTGATCATTTTAATCTTTACTACATTCATTCAGTAAACCTTTACTGAGCTCTTACCATAACCCAGCACTACTCCATGGGACTACAAAGATGAGTAAGATAAAGATCCATGTCCTCCAAGTGTCAGGATGTAAAAATAACAGGGAGAACTAAAATTATCAATCAATTATTTATGTCTTAGATGAAAATGACATAGGGAAAGAGATAGTACATCTGTTCCTGAGTCAGAGGAAGCTGGCAGAGGGGCAACACTGTAGCCAGAACGCGAC